AACATTTAATATAAAAATTATTTCTAAGAATTATAACACTTTGTCATCTATACAATTAGGTGGGTGGAGGCGGTAATCTGGGGTCGGGAAATGGAAACGTACCTGTCGTTGCGAGAGCACTACCTACGTTAAGAAATTCAGAAAATCAGAATCAACTGTTGTCGAAGACTGTAACTACTTCGGGGAAAGATCCACAATTATCTATCACTGTGGGATAAGAAGACGCGGAAAATTAATCAGCATGTCGACAAGCTATACAATTGAAAATACAAAGAGATATATGCTATACATTTGTTGACTATCAAGTTAACTATAATTTTTTAAGACATTTACACTTGTCTTTACTAATTTTTTTGTATTTCCTATTATACAATCAATGCAAACTTATATGGATATTGATAACATATTGTTGTTTAATAAAGATGTCCATAATATTGTGATTTGAATCGTAAACTGCTTGAAGAGAAATTTTGACTCTTAACAAGAAATTTAAATATTATTAGCGATCAATTTCTATTACAAATTGCTTAATATCAATTTGCTGTCAATTTTATATATTATATAATAAGATAAAATAGAGATAACATAGAGATCGAAAAATCTGTTGTGTATACATTAATAAGTTTATTGTACAGTTACTGCCTATTAATATACAAAACTATAATCTTTTTTTGGTTACATACACATATAACGGGGGTATCTTCGGTGAATGTAATACATAATGATAAGTGATACATTACTTTTTCTATATCTAATTTACATTAAAATAACAAATAATTTACATGATTCGATCTCTTGCGTTGTAAAGTCGAGCTCGGTTAGTATAGCACCTTGTGACACTGAAGAGGACACTGACACACATTGTGAGAGGGAAGATTATAAGGATTAAGTTTCTCACGCGACATAAACGAACTCGCTGACTGAAATTAATTTTTTCAGATTAATTCTTTTGAGATGGCCATAATGTATAAATCAGTCTAAATCGCGATCAGTTTCGCGATGCATTTAGAATTAAAAAAATTCACGCTTTCAGAATGCTATCTCACATAACGTGGATATGTTTTGTAGATTTTTGCTTGTGCGTGCTTGACATATTTATTTCTATATTGATTCAATGATAAATTTTTCAGAAATAGAAAAAGTTTCATATAAAAGTATAACCTCCATCTTTATAAAATACAGTTTTATAGACGTCTATTTATAAAATTATTGTAAATATAAAAAACGATTTGTTTTTTGTGGAAAAGAGGCAATGATTCGAACGATTGATCAACATTGTTAGTACCTTTTAGATAAGGCAAAGATCTTGAAATAGCCTCCTGTCGAATAAAATAAAAATAATTGTAATCGCTAAAGTTTTCGCTCGCACGTAAAATGGACACAATATTCTATTTACAGCATATAGCGTTAAAATGTGATAAATAAGACCAGATTTAAGTATTTTTACAAGTCAACCAGTATGCAAAACATCGATCTTTGAATAGGCACGCAACGAGCGTGACATATGATAGATAACGCACAGCTCGTATTGCATCATCGCTTGATGCAATCAAACTCAGAATATGTTAAAACCCGTTTCGATTTTATATGCTCGTTCTCTCAGTTCTGGATTAAACCCATCCACCGGTTAACTTGTGAAACATTTCCTCGTTCAACGTCTGATTCGCCTCTTTCGAGCGCATCGACAGGAAGATATAGCCTCCTATGAATTCGTGAACAACTTTGCAGTCTGCTGATTGGCATTCGAAAATGATGTTCTCTTCCTCGAATTGTACCATCATGTGCTTTACTTCCCAGTTAACATTCCACGCCTGCAAGATAAACATAAGATTACTTCCATCTTGTATTCAGAGATATAATATCTTTTTTATCAAGCGTATTTTCTTGGAACTACAGATTAGTTAACTCCAAATAATTTTTCCGTAACGAAAACATTGAAAAAAATTATCACTTTTTCTCGATTTTAAATAATTATTTTCTAGTAAAAAAAAATCTACTTAAAATGAATTAAGAAATGGAATATCCATTTTTCTCATATTAGAAAATTATTCATTTTTAATCGTTCATAATTCGCAAGAAGCGTGAATATTTTTGTAAAAAAAAAATTATTTCAGGATTGATTAAAGAAATAGCATGTAGGAATACTCGTGAATGAAATATATGCGAAATGATCACATACCTTCATGGTGTTATACCTCCAAGTCTTTAGATGATCGCCACTGTGAAGTTCCATTCGCATTAGCCTATTATTGGCAATACCTAGTAATTCATCCTTGTTCTTGCCGGTAAATCGCACGATAAAGAGCGAGATACCGTATTCCGGCAGGGACTGCCAGGCCTTGATGTAATTCAGCTTCGCTTCGATGAGGGGTAGGTCCTTAACGTTCGCGTGCGCTTCCAAAATCCTCTGGACCAACTGCGTATAAAAAAAAGAATCAATAAAGTCAGTTGATCGTTCAATGCTGTCTTATTTCGTATGCAAACGAAGGATGGCTACCTTTCCTTTGAACTTCTTCGCGAATCTAGGTGCGACGTAGTCTTCTGGTGTGATGTCTAAAGCATTCGGATTGATGGCCGGTGCGGGCGCGGGCCTCTGTAATTGCAGAAAAGCTGTGATACTGTTTACCTCACTCTCGTATGACGCATCGGCGAGGGTACGGCCCTTGGCCGCTAATCTGCATGCGGCCATCCACTTTGCGTATTGTTGTTCCTGAAATAATAAGGAATAAAATTCTGCTCAAACGAATACTTGGAAATCGAATCAATTCTAAATTTAATTTACTTCGTGGAGCTAGAGTGTTCATAAGAACTTTATTTGTTCATCTTCAAGATACATGCTATTAATACGTTGGCATATAGCCAAACGTCATAGCATATGGTGGCAAACATTAATATATAATTGAAATTGGTTACGTTTAAATTTGGTGACGTTGGTTAATTCAATAATATTGCTGCACTTGGCGACGACGCATCACGTTAACATGAATGTGATCCGCTTACATTATCACATCTGATCCACATCTCGGTCATGCCTTCAGCGCTGGGCACCTCCAATCTTATCCCGTAGCGACCTTGCGACAGATGTACGTCCGGTGTGACCTCGCAGCCGCGCAAATTGATCACGTAGACCGGCGACTCCGAGCCGCCCGCCTCCTCTCTGCTCTTGTACAGCCTGAGCTGGAGATCACGGCACGTGAACCAATAACGCTTGAAGGCCTTCAGCGTGAAGCGCTTCGGCTTGAAGAAACGCAGCTCGTCGCAGAGCTCGGGCACTTGCGTGATATCGCTGGGCCCGTTGCTGATGTTACTACCCTCGAGGGTCACCTGCAGATCCGTCAAGGCCGCATCGATGTCATCCTCGACGGGTGAAGTTGCTCCGTTGCTGTCGTACGTAGGTTGCGGCACGCTCGCCTGAAGATTCACTTGTACCTGCAACGGAGAAACATAAAGTATAGATTTCTTTCGACGTCGACTGTAGATTTCTTTTTTCTTTTCTTTGCTTCTTCCAAGAAGTTCATCGCGAAAAACGATGAGAGCAAATGTGCAAAAGACACAAAACAGATTTTGTGGGTCGAGGCGAGATGATCGCATCTTTTCTTGGTCGTGTTGTCGCGTGACGGCTACGGCGCGGCGGAACACCGGCTGGCGAAGCAATCGGTGTTCAAGGACGCGGCTATTTACATGTATTATGCGTCGCGTGGGGTTCTTCCCTCGGAAAGACATAAATATATATCGAGAATGGGCGAGAGCGAATCGGTAACGGTCTGCCGTGCGGTTGCGAGGAATGAATATCGAAAACCGAAATATAAAAGTGTATTTTAACGTCTCTATTCGTCTTTTACATTTGCATGCTTTTGCAACGAACAGATTTATAAATAGAACTTACGAAAGACGGAAAATTTTAGATGTACAAATAAAAGAGAGAGACGTTCAAATTTATTCAGAATCAAAATGATTTTGGCAAGCGTTCATTCTCTCTCTCCGGATAACACAATTGTTGAGGAGTACCTGAAGCGCCGCGAACATCAGCATCTCTTCCTCGGTGCAGTCGATTTCTTCCGCAAGCAATTGCCATTTAGCTTGCTCGTAAATCATATTGATGCGCACCGCGTCGGTCTTCGGATTCAGATCGTAGAAGGAGTAGAATTTGAACTTCAGTCTGAGCGTGTCGAATTCGCGGATGCCCTGCTCCATAATCGATAGGGAGGAGTCCAACCAGGCGACGTTCATCCTCGCCCTCTCGATCAGGCTCTTCGGCCTGATCAATTTCACCCGCACCTCTGGCGAAATCGATGTCGGACTTTGCGCCAAGGACTCCGACAGCCCGCCGTTCAATGCCTCGAGACTCATAGTGCTGTTATTGGCGTTGAAGGAGCCGGTGCTGCCGAAGCCAGAAGAATTGTTGTTCCTCTTCCACGTGCCGGTATGCTGAAAATTTGTATGTTTGTATTATTTTATGTTCGCAAAGTACACGTTGGCGCAGTATTGTAAAAATAATTACGATGCGATCGAGAATATCGCTTTTGATTTTAATTAATGATTATTATATTTGATTACTATTTATTTATTATATATACTTCTATCATATACTTTTTATATTATTGCTATTATTAAGATACCCGTACTCGGGATTGATTTCTCGTCATTACTTAAAAAGAAAGATTTCGCTAAAGTATCTAAAAATTTTTGATCGGATATAAAATATCTAAAAATAATTTTGTTGAATTATTAAAATAACTATGTGGGATAATAATGTAAAATTCTAGCGTTCTACACGATTACTTTCATAGTATTCAAATGTTCAGATGCTCCAGCAAAATCGATTTTTTCCGCATATACACAATTGTTTTACAAAATTAATTTCGTCTTAGGAAAGATCTCGTTTACATAAAGAAAATCTACCGAGACAGGAGAGCTGATCGGTGTGCTGTGATTTCTGTTGTTGGGCGTAACCGGGGCACACATAAACGGACTCGACTGATCTAAGCTTCCCGTGGATCCTCTGGGACTCTGGCTAGCCGGGATGAAGGTATTCGTGTCGGCCGGCCAGTGCCCATTCTTCTGATTTTCAACTTTCTTCTTGGCCGGCAGATCTTTAAGATTATATTTCAAGTGATTCGGCTCGAGTGGCTTGCAGAACGAGAGCTCCTCTGGATGCCTGATGCCTACGGCGGTGATTAAAGGTTTGCGCGTTAATTAATCTCGCGTCTTAGTCAATTTACTCGAATGAAGAGAGAGATATAGAGATATGTGTAGAGAGAGAGACAGAGAGACTCGTGTTTTTTCCTCGCCTCTGCGCGAAAAGTCAAAGGCGAGGTGAAAACAATTATGACATTCATTCCCTCCTATATCCTTGCAAAGGAATGAAGTAATCGACGGACAAAGATTGCGTGCAACGGAGTCTATTTATGAATATAACACATATAACAGTGATCTCATATCGTCGATGCCCATTTACTAAACTAGAATCGCCGATAAAAGCGCGAAAACCATCAGTAAGCTGGAGATCAACAGCTGCTTGTTGTTCCAGACGACGTTTTGACGACGCGCGATATTCCACGAACGCGGAATTACTTTTAGCTCACTGCAGAACGATAAGCACGTATCACCATCGGTATTTCCTCCTACTCGAAAGTCAGCTTTATCCTCGTGGAATTATCGCGTTAACCCACTTCCTCGATTAAAAAGTGAGCTCAGAGTTCGCTGCGGTGGCGAATCGACAACCGCGACGATTTATGCGACCTTCGCGTGACAAAAGCGAGCTTATCATCTCTATTTTCGTTGCCACGTATAATATTAATTATCGTTGACACGCTTATTTACTTCGGAATTGCGACGCGCCTGCCACGCGAATGCCACGAAAAAACTGCTACAATTTATTTATTAATAAAATATATAAACATATATAAATTGTAAATTATATCGTAATATTCTAAAGTAAATTTTTCATATATTATATATTTTTTTCTTTAATTAAATTAAATTATTTAAAATTTTTTTACTATCTTTTGCACTCATCGTGTTTATAAATAATTAACATTATTATTATGTTTCCTCACTTTCGTGACTTCATAATTAATCACACAAAAAATTGGTTGCGATTGTTATTTCCTCTTAATCTTCTATTTGCCGATTTGCCACTTTTTTGCGTTTCCAAAAGTGATAAAATAAAAAATTTCGTAATTCGAAAAGACTTCTATCTTCTTGCTCAATCGGTCAAAAAAACAAAATGACGTAAAATCATTCAATCATAGAAGCGGCCAGACTACTGTTGCAAAACGGATTACGTAATATTATGTCGAAATATACGCGGCATGTCGCGTTTTCTTCGAAGCGGATTCTTTCTTTAACGTTGTAACTGAGATGCTGTGCAAACCTTTTTGGCCATACGTCTTCGTAATATTTTAATGTTAACCAATTGACATCTGTATTCTCTCTCTCTCTCTC